TCAGGAGCATGAACATTACCATAGTTATGTCAATGTGGTAACGTTCAAGCTCGCGATTGATGAAACTATCTACAGCTGAGTCTTGCCACGGGCAGAGTTGGAAAAATAAGAGTGTAGGCCGAGTTCTGTCGCTGTCTGGAGGGGAATTCTAGCGGCCGGCTGCTCTGACCGGTGGTTTTCCGTGATTTCTCCAATCAATACCAGCTGAATGCTGGAGCAGTACCCTAACAACCGGGCCGCGAACCGCGCGCGATCTTTCCTTCCCATTCCTTTTCCTATCCTCACTCCTTACAAACACTTTCACTTATATGTACTACACTACCACACATTCCGGGAGATCGGTCGGAAACTTAGAGATTGTTTCGCCTGGGCCGGTGTACCGCTGGTGGGAGGTACCTAGTGGGAGAAAACTCCGCTAGCCGACGGTAGGTTGGCGGCGGATCTCGCCATTCAGCGGGGCAAGATCACTACCACTTCGCAAGTAAAACATGTGCACTATGCTTACGGGACAAATGACATTAGCATTTGACACGCCTGGAATCACTAATAATCAATCAATGAACCTTGATGGAAAACATTCACTTAGAACAAGCTTGAACAACACATCAACTTCAGTTCTACGCAGTCTCCTGCCGAAAACCCACCCCTTTCACCTTCCTTATGTTCTCCACCTCATCCCTATTTGGAACTCTCTTACCTCCTCGTCTGAACCTATTCCCGTTTCTTTTAATCCCAACACCAATTCCTCTCCATCTGATGCCCAATTTTCCTCACAACCTGTCATTGCTGGGACACATTACAACCTTCGACCACTCACTCGAGGTGAAAATGGAGTAAATATATAGCAAGTAGTCAGCTGCCGCAAAAAAATCCGAGTAGGTACTTGCAAAATAGTAACATCTCATCATAAAGATCAATCTACTTCAAATAAAACTGAGTTTTTCGAGATTGCTCTTACAGAGCGATTTAAATCAACATATGTTATTTACTTTACAGGACATGGTTATCTCATAATGAACATACATTTTACAAATTTCAAACTTTTATCTTGCAGGCTACTATTGTAGTGAAAGGGAATCGCATAAATGTCCTCTATCCGGTGGTTCTGGTAGTTACGTTGGAAATCGAATCTATCTTCTTGACGGAATTAAATTTGTATTCAATTGAAAAGCATTTGAAGTAATAAATAATACACAAGAGTAGATTGTGTACTAAAATTAAAATAAAATTATTCATAAACTACTTGCTACAGGAATCATTGGACGCAGTTTACAATACCTTTGATATAAACTATAAATATAATTCATTGTTTTCCACACTTTGATTTCACTTGAACATGTGATTTCCTGTTCAAAAAAATTAAGCATTTCACCGAAAAACAATTCTTGGATTATACGAGGAATTAGAACATCATATAAAAACGAACGAATTCTTTTTTCATTTTTTAGCATCACGGCGTATCATGATATCTTTCTCTACTTCCAAAAGTACAAATAATTGTGAATAAAAGTCATAAGGCAGGTTAAAATCACGAAACACGATCAAGACATTTTGAACTCGAATAACAAAACAAAAACAATGTAGAATATAGTAAAAAAATAGGTAAACAGTAGCTAGTCTCTTCAACCAATATTTGGCGAGAATTGCTACCCATCTCACTAAAAGCCTTCAGACACAAAATCCAACATCAGACGTCTCCACAAAAACTTTAGACACGTTTGTTTCCGAAACTTCTTCCTATACAATTCTCAAAATAATCTATAAACTAAAAAATTAATATTAGACTGCTTTAAATAAATGTTCGGATTGTTTGTTTAAGACTTCTTACGCCCGCCGTTATACACAGGTAACTCATACGACAGTCGTTTCAGAAGTCATGGTAACTATTTTATGTATTCAGGAATATTTTAAATAAACAATGTATATGAATTTGAAATTTTGTTTATGAAACTTCACACCAATTTAAACGCATGATTTTCTATTAATCAGTGGAACTTATTTAAAAGGAAATAACTGTAATTTCGTTTACTTTTCTTCATTTTGGTGTTTAGGTTGTGGTAAATTTATTAATTTACAATTTTTTTTAATTAATTTATTTTTCTTTGCAAACTTAATTTAGAATGTATGATTCATTAACCGTTAAAAGCAAGAATGGTAAAGTGTTCAATTGTGTGGAAAAACAAAAGGGTTTTTCATGTTCATGATTATTTAACTATAATTATATTTTCGAACGAGATTTGTACTCATTGCCTACAGGTTGATTACTGTCCGCTCACCCTGTGCGAGGAAGCTCGGTTTCCCCATAATCAAATCAGTTTGTACCCGTGGGCCCGACTTATTTTGTCGCCAAAGGAATTTTAAATATTTTTAGTAATTTAAACTTACTATCTCTCTATTTTTGAAAAGAAAAAAGAGACGTCCTTTTCGCAACTGTATGTAGTAGGCTTGAATTTTGGATATTGTATTGAAATGGTACACTTTAAAATTAATATTTATTTTAACATTTCGAAGTACAAAGGACGTGAGAAGCTTAACAGAAACGTTTCCCGTGTATCAGAGTCTCATAGGAATAGTTTGGGATTTGAGAAAATGCGCTTGCAGAGACAAACTACTTTAGCGCTTCTCACCATTGCGGAGTTCGTCGTCACCATCGAGCGCGTAACTTTCGATTCATACAATACAGCAGAAAAGCGCAACGTTTGGCATCATTGTCGCCTTAAGAGACCGTTCTTCATCCGTAACTTCAGATGCGCCATAGAGAGTTTAGATCATTCGACGTAAGATTTTTCTATATTTGTTTCAGTCCGTATGTTATTACTGGGAAACTTTCGCGTAGAATAGTCATTGCTGGTTTTGGGGATAGTCTCAGTTCTTGTCTGTCATATATACATCTGATTGCATTCATCGTTCTTTCTCTTGTGTGTAAATGGAGGGAGGATGTTTGTGTGTAGGATGTTTCCGAGGTACTTAAAAGAGTTTTCCAATTTGATATCCTCTTTGTACTGAATCTTGTCTCTTGAAGCGGCTTTACCGCTATTCTTGAAGATCATACGGTTTTCATATGGTTTACTTCGTTGTTGATATGACAGTATTCTTCAAATCTGTCTATCGTCTTGTAGTCTATCTTGTAGTTCGTCTCTGCTACATGAAGCAATCACTATGTCGTCTGCATGTATATACATTCTGCATGACGGGCTCTGTATTCTTGTGATGGCGATATTAAATAAAATTGGACTCATAGGGTCTCCTTGAAATACACCGTTGTTCTGTAATATGGGGTCCGAAGTAGTTTTGTCGTCGTGGATCCTTATTTTATTGTATGCAAGGATGTTGATGGTCAGTATGTTTTAGTGGTCGATCATGTTTCCTCGTTTGGATATTAAGGTCTCTCTATTCAGTAGGTCGAATACTTTCGTGAAATCGACAAAAATTGCATAATATTTACCTTTTGGTATTCTTATTTGCGTGGATATCGTCAAGGAGGTTCTTCACATGTAAGGTTCTTTTTCCTTTCTTGAATCTGAACTGTTTTTTGGCATAAAATGTTCTGAAACATAAGCCTTGTTGTTAGGATTTTTGAAAATATCTCGAAGGCGATGCCTCTGTAGGAATTGGGTTTTACTCATCTCCTTTTCCATTGTATAAAACATTTAAGTTGCATTCCCTCCAGCTTTTCGTTATTGTCGCAGTTGTGAGGCAGGCGTTGAATAGTGTAACCCATAGATCTGACAGTGAGTCAAGTGTCTATTAGATTTTCGTGAGTATGCCGCCTGGCCCAGTCGCTTTTTGTTTATGTCGTTTTTATCGCTGCTACGATTTCGCATCTGTCTATTGTGTCTGAGTGGCGTTGCCTGTTCTGATTGGCAAGGCCATTTGAATTTTGATGACGCAAGTAGCATACCCCGCACAATTCAAATGTAATAAGAGCTGTCACAAATGGCATGTTCTTGCAACTACTTTACTTACGATCAGTCTGCTTCAAGACGTGGTTGTCAATAACTGGATGTCCAGAAAGATGCACTTTTCGCTATTCAAAATAAATTTTTCACGCTTGTGTTTCATTTATTTTATTATTGAAGGGCCAGCCACACTCTGAGACATTCTAAAGCGAACTGAATAGCAGAGCCTCACAGGCCGATCGGCAGCGCGGCGCCACGGCCCCACGAGCCGCGTCCTACGCGCCTGACACGTCGATCAGCACGTTCAAGACATGGACTGTCAGAGGCTCGTAATCTTATCGCAAAGCAACACGCAGTCAGTTCCCAATGGTCCTTTCTCGAAGCCGTTGCAATTGTTTTCCAAGGTTAATTTAACGAACGATGGAAGATATATTAGTTCTTATACGTAGAACTATTTTACTTTAGTGTCAGGATCCCTACAACAGCAAAGCCAATGAGAATGATCCTAACACACCTGCATTTGTTTACATCTGGATTTTTCTTAGGGATAATAAGTCCAAGTTAGCAGGGACAGAGAAAATGTTTTCATGTACAACAGCGCTATTAGCATTGTCCATTTGTTTAAATTACATTCGCAAAATCGAGGTTAAGATGTAAGATTGAACTTTTTATGGCTCAGGAAATCAGAACGCAGTCACAAAACAGACAAATAACAGACACCAATACCTAGTACAACAGAAATTTCAACACGAAAATAAGCACTCGATGTTAATACCTTTTGGTGGCTGCACAGCAAATACATGAGCTTGGTGGCCGAATATACCTTAAAAGGTTCTTCCATTGACTGTGTGATGTCGCTGGAACTAAACGAGTCCGGTTAGCTAACGTTATACTCGACGCTATCTTGAATTAACATCCTGTTAACATCTTACTTTCTAGAAGGCTTTACTCTTTGCTGCTGACGCTCTTCATACATATTCCCTATCCTGATGCCCCACCTACACCCCCGACCACCACCTCTGCATTCTTCTTCCAGACTTCGTGGTCGACTGAATTTAAAAATAAAAAGATTCGTTCTCTGATGAACGACCAATCTCTAAGAGAAATGATTGGAAAGTGGGAGTGGTAGAAGTTTGTGTAAACTATTTGGTCAATTGACTGCATTATTTCTTTGATTCTAGAGCCGCGATTTCGATTTACTGTGTAGAATGCTGGTAGAACGAAAGTAAAGAAGCCCGATTTTGAAATTTGCCGTATCTCAGTTATGAAAAAATACGTATTTTAGCAATTCTGTTAATTTTGGCTACGCGCGTTATCATGCTGTATCAGAGGAATGTAAGTTTTAAAGTAAAAATTATTGTTTTTTAAACCATTGCGCAGAGTAGTAGCCTACATTATTTTTTACTTTTGTGGAAAATGTTTTTCTAAGGTAATGGGTTATTTGCTTATCAATATATTTTTTGCTTTCATCACTATAAGATAGAATACACAATAAAGTATAATTAACAGTTATACTTTTTAATTGTACTTATAGGAAAAGGATTTTCTTTAAATGTGTATAACCTTTTCCTTATCAAGTGTATTTTTCAGATATCAGGGTTGCCGTATGCTGGAATCCAACATTCTCGTCACCCTTTTAACATACGTGCCCAAATAAAAGCAAATTGGTGTTCACTACTGATAGGTTGTTTTATGTTTGTTTTGGGTATGTCCTTGTTATTTTGGAATGAGGTAGGTTTTTGAAATTTAGAGTTTAACAATATGATAATTATAACCAGTTTTTAACAGAACATTTGAACAAATAATTGATTTTTTGTTTAAATCTTTAGGGCAGAGCAATTCATAGTACAAGATCTTTGGAAGAAGCTATGAATACAGTTATATCTCTACCATTTGCCCTTTCACCCAAAGAAGAAAATAATGGTCATCTTGTTCATTTAACTGGTCCATTATCTGTTGCTGAACCTCTTACGGAAGTGGAGTATGGTATTGTTGTTTCTGCAGTAAGATTGAAAAGACGAGTACAAATGTATCAATGGGTAGAGGAAGAAATACAAAGTAGGTCAGTGGAATATTTGATAAAATATAATTTTTGTGTTCTGTAATTTGTGTTACCTACCTTTAAGATCTCTAGATCATACATTTTGTATCATTCTGTAATAATGGCAATACTACAATTCTCTAAGGAGAATAACTTTTGTTATTTTGGGGAACAAGTAGCATTTTAAGTTCAGTATATCTTTGCTTTCTTAATTTTTTTTTGTTGATTTTATTGCTTTAAAGCATTTCTGCATTTAAAGCTTTTGTTTACATGTGTAAGTAATGAATGTACACTTTGTTGTTAACTTTTACCAAGGAGTATAGTATCTTTTGGTGAACTAAAATTATTTGTGGAATCTTGAACCTGAGAGACTTACTGTCTCTGCCTAGGGCAGTGAATTTAACATCGTACTATTATTGAGAATAGTCATAATATTATAGAAATTATTTACTTGTTAATATTCCTCATTATTTAGTAAGATACGGTTAAGAATGAATCAGAGATAGTCTTCATCATTAAATAAATGTGGCATGATGACAACATAGCATAAAGTAATGTACTTTGGAGCCATGTCGTACGAGCTTGCTAATAAGTATTCTGTAAGAATTGTTTGAACATTTATGCACAGTGTTAGGCAGATTTCTTGTAGCCTAAAATCCATGTGCAATGATATTTCAGATCACAGGCATTAAACAAATAATTCATTTTTTGAAGTCAAAAGCACTTAAAAACTGTTTAATGCATTGTGGGGTGAAGTGCAAACTGTGTACGTTTTCTTCAGCTTTGAGATCCCCTCCTTATCTATGATATTATATTCATATTTCATATTAATACAATAGCAACAAGTGCTTTTGGCAAGAATTAAGAAGAAAATATTCACTACGGTTTACACTGTTGACAAAAGCTACAATCAGCTACAGATTTTGCAATAGAGTTAATCCATTTTAAGTGGACCAGCATTGGATGCACAATCATCTCAGAAAAATGGCATAATCACAGGGAAAGAGGACTGTGGCTATATGGAGGGTGACTGAGAAGCTCCCACTTGAATTTCTGTAAGAGTGCTGTGTCGTATGGTTGCCATATGAGTCCTTGCATTGTCGTGAACATCCACATTCCTCATGCAGGCCTTAACACAATCATGGCACTCTTGCAGAAATTCAAGTGGGAGCTTCTCGGTCACCCTACGTGAAGACAAGACCACTCGGCCTGCGATTATGCCATTTTTGGTCCCTTAAAGAAGAGGGATGTTTCACTCCGGAAGACGACGTTAAACAGTATGTGTGGAACTGGTTCACAAGGCAGTCCCAGGAATTTTACAAGACAGCCATTCGCTGCCTCGTGTCGCAGAGTGCCCCAACAGTCAGGGCCAATACTTCTCACATACAGGTACTGGTTTCCCTCTGGCAAAATAATTTATGTTCAACTTGTGGCCCTGTTGCATTTGTGGCTTGGTGCAACAAAGGCCAATGTTAGTTTTTAGTGATTTTCGGATTGTATGGCCAAAGTGTGCTTTAGAGCCTCTTCTTTCAGTGCAAGAAAGGCCAAAGTAAAAATTCGATCCTATTCAATAATTTCACATTTGAATATTGACATTGGCTCTTCTTGCACCAAACCACAGATATAATTTTGAATATTACTTGAACCTGAGACAAATTTAATCTGTAAATGAAAATAAGATCTTGATGTCAGAACCTAAACCGTTGAGTATAGAAATGCTTAATTTCGACTGCAAAAATGACCTGATAGAAAAATTAAAAAAATAAAGTTAAACATCTATCAATCACCTGGTAGAAAAATTTAAAAGTTCTATAAGAAAGGGTATAAAGTTAATCATCAGATTACTTCCTGTTCTTGGAACCGAACAAAAGTAAAGGGTGAATTGAAAGTGTCAGATAGTACAATAAAGTTAACAAGGGACTTGATAAAAAAAAAAGCTTAAGTCTCAACAACTTAAAATTTAATGACACCATACTTGAAGGAAATGACTTTCTGCAGGAAAAACTGAAAAAAAAATTATTTGAATAACCATATCCCCCCTGAGCTCAAGAAAACATGTACAGATCTTCATCCCATAACTCTACAGAACACATCTAATAATCATTAACATAATATACTCTTTTCTCCTATTTACTTGATTAATGATTTTCACCTGGCATTTCTGGAGACTTCTTGTGGTGTGGCTATCTTGTTTCTGTCCCAAGCTCTTCATTTAAGGCATTTGTGTCCCCCAAACAGGACATTAAACAATAAAGTACATATGTATTGTAAATATTAATATACAAGATCTCTAAAAATGATGTGTAACATCTGAAAATGTATGTTTCAATCAAAATTGTGCTTATGTCTTGTGATTTAATGCATTGTGCTCTGACCATTTAAAAAGTTTATACAAAGTATTTGGAGTTTATTGAAAATAATCTTGTTTAGGTATTATAAGAACCATGGTATGATTTGTATGAAAATTACACTAAAAATACTAATATTTTGAAAAAGCTGTACATGAAAGGATTTAAAGATTTAATATTGAATAATACATTACATACATTAAGAAAGGTGGTGTAGGACAAATTCAAAAACTAGTTGAACTTTTGCAAATTTTTAAAACTCAAGGTTTTATTGAAAATTCAACGAATACCATGTTTTTAAATGTCCTTTGCTCTATTCAACCAAAAAATTTACAGGAAAAGTGTTGGGTTCATTTTTATGAAAATTTAGAATATATTACATAAAAAATCCTGAGACTTGCAAAAAAGGTCTGTTTAAAATTTGCAAGGCCTCAAATTCAGCCACATCAATCCATTTTGATGAAGATTTTGTGAAAAGTTAATGTGTTAGTATTGTTAACAGACTGACAGATGTTTTGGAAGAAAAAAGAAAGAAGAAAAAACAACAAACATTTTTCAGTGTATGGGGCTTAAAAAAAAATACATCCAGCAAACCTTGACATTGATTATCGTTATGAATCTTTCTCTACATTAGGTATTTGTAGTCCATAAGAAAGAAAAAGAATTGAAAGATAATAGGCCTAAGATGAACAGAAAATTGAAAATAAATAAACTAAATATTATGAACAATTCCAATGAGATGGATGAGAAGCAAATTTTTATATTGAAAATTAAATCATTGTATATTTAAAGTTAACTGATTAGAGACCAGAGTTAGTTATATCTCGGTGTAACAATTGGCCAATTTTGTATTTCTTGAAAAGTTCCATTCTACTAAAAAGAATCTCAATTTCTAGACACTAAGATGCATTTTTTTGAACATGAGTGTCCGACTAAACAAAACTTCATCTCCTTTTCTCCATACCTTATTCCTATACACAAGAACTCCCTTTCTCTATATAATTCCCTTCTTTTGTATCACCTTTTTCTTTTTTCTATTAGTAAGTTTTTAAATTTATTTATTTGCTTTTTTATTAATCTGTTCCTATGTATTTCCATTATTGATACATTACACAAATGCTCATTCTTCATGTAGATATTCAAATTTGAAGAAAAAAGCATTAAAAATTATTTTGATTATTTACAAGTTAATTAGTTTGAAATGTACTTTAGGTCTTTAATATTCATACTTACTATTCAAAATATAATTTGCCACACTGCAAATTTTGATGAACATTGTTGAAGAGAGGTGCAAAATATTGACCACCAGAATGGATACGTATTTCTTCAAATGGTTACTTTTCGTACCACAAAGTGTATTTGTACTGTAGGTGATCTTCATATGTAGTTATGCAATATTTAGTATATAGAACTTGCAAATTTAGTATTATATGCATGTACTTTGATGTGCCAGAAGTGATTGTGTGAAGGTTCCAAGAAATTGTGAACTGGTGAAATAAATGTACAGCATTATGTTATTGCAGTTGGTTATGAGAGTTATAATTCAATTCATTTCCAGAAAATCCATATTCTCTGTTGCATAACTAGAATTCATCTGGAACTGTGACATTGCTGCTGGAAATAAAACATACTAACAGGTATTTTTTACCCATATTTATTTACTTTTCGTTTTTCTTTCTTTCTTTTTGTTTTTTTTGTTTGTTTTTTGTTTTTTCTTTTTGTTTCTTTTTCCCCACTTATGTTGGTTTGTGTGTGGGGAATTTGTCATTGTTTTGGTTACATTTAGAATATATTGTGAATATTTTCACAATTGTGCATGTACTGTACACACGCATGTGCGTGTACACACATACATACCACTCACACAACACAAAACACAATATTAACTTTCTCATGTTCACTTCGCTGTTGCCTTTAGTGCTTTCATTTATTAACTTTGTTTTCTTCATTCTATGACTTATGCCCTCAAATTTCCACTCCTGAGGTTGTAATTGTTTTTGTGCATTATTTTGAGAATTCATTTTGTGAAATTGTTTTTAGAGAGTATGAACAAAATGAATATCCATTTGCAAGATATACATACACTACAGAATACAGAGATAAGCTAATTGATAGTAATAAATTTTATCAGCGTGCTGGACATCACAATCCCACGTAAGTATAATTTCATTTAATAAAGTGCGTTCTCCAAAGAACTCTACTACAAATGTGAGGATTAATGTTAAATTTTATGAAGTATTATGTTCCATAATTTTGATAAAATTTTATGCAGGGAATTTCCTTTGAAAAGTATTATCTATGTTAGTGAAGAAGTTAATGTGGGATACTTTGCTCTGGGACCTGAACTGAAAGCAAAATTCAATAATTTCATACTCGTCACAAGTGATGAGAGGCCTGAACGCCGAGATATCAAAATGCATTCTGGGCTGTACTATCATTGTCAAGATGTCTGGACTCCTGAAGTAGGGGATATTCGTGTACAGTTTTCTTATGCTGGGAAAGCTGGAGAAGTGGTGAGTGAGAATTGTATATTGGGAGCTTCAATACTTAACTTTTATCGTCTGGTGCAAACTTAGAAATTTGTTTTTGCAATAAAATCAGTTTTACTTTGATCTATAAATTGAAATTAGAACATCAATATGCTCTAGAGGCAAATTTCAGAATAAAAAATATTTTTGTCTAATTGGGACATTAATTATGCCAAATTTCTTTGTGCTTAACATTTGAGTCTGATGATGATGCCTCCAACAGTGGTTTCCTAGTGACATTCAATTACAGCTGCATTTCCAGTGAGAAATCTACATTTGTTGCCACCAACTCAGAATAAATGAATGAAGGGAATAGAGCATCATAGCAGTTGAGTGCTTCTGCTGTGCATTTTGACACCTGTTGTCAAAAAACTCAACATTAATAGTATCCAGACAGTACGGGTATCAGATTGTAAATATCAAAAGTATAGGACTGGAATCTGGTATATGCCCACGAAAGCAGGGCGAGAGCACTTGGCAAGTGCAGTAAAGCGCACCAATGATGTCCAAGACAAGACCAACTGTCAAGCACAAAGAAGAATGGTACAATGTTTAGTTTATGTATTTTAATGTGTATGCTTATGCATCAACTCTCAGGTAACAGTTGTTGGCATGCAAGTTGGATCAACTATCAGGCCATATAAAACATCATCAGGAAAAGAGGTGCTTATCCTTTGTGATGGGGCAATGTCTGTGGAAGAAATATTTTTGCAGGAACATGCCCAAAATTTGTGGACAACATGGATATTTCGTGGTCTGGGTTGGATAATCATGTATCAAGGAGCAACATGCTTCACACAAATCTTGTGTGCTTTGTGTGAGTAACGAGTACAAAATATGAACATTATTAATCATATTATTATTTCTAATTTTGTATTTTGTTTTTAGTTGGAAGGTATTCTATGCTTCATGAAGTCTTAATTCTGGGCTTTGGTTCTGTGAGTGTTGCAGTATCATTGTCTGGTGCGCTACTGATTTTTGCTTTTGCTTGGATTTGGTATCGTCCATTTTTTGGATTTGTTGTTGCAAGTGTTGCAGTTCTTCCTATAGTTTATGGATCACTTAAACTGTATATACAAGATTATTATGATAATAATTATAGACGTCTTCATACCCACTAATAACAAAAGACAAGTGATAACGTTAAATTACCTTGGGAAAGAAAGTGAATAGCATTTGAATTCTTTGTTGACAGTATTAATGAAACATATTCATCACAATAATTGTTTGTTAAACAATAATATTGAAAGCAAAATGCTATTGGTTCAACTTCTGGGATGAAGTAATGACTCTTTATCAAGTAATAAATTGTATTTATATTCTGTATAGAACAAAGATATAAGATTGATTCCCTATTGATTGGCAAAAACACGTTTGGTGCAATCTGTTGTATTTTAATTTGCTAACATAATATATTGCATTATTTTAGTTTCGTATGATTCAAATAGATAATGTGATTTCTAAAGCCTGTCAGTACAGCAAGTGTGGGAATAAGTTTATTAAATTACAGAGAATTAACTTTGCAATTTAAAAAATGGAGTCTTATGATTATTTTGGAAAACCGAACAATTTAATTATGTAATTGGAAATGTATTATTTCGATGATGGTTACGTTCTATAAGGTACTGAATTTATACAACCTGTAATAGTTATTTGTAATTCCTAATTTTAATAAAAGTACCCAATGTCTCCGTGTAATATTTTATTGATTGTTTTATTTATTTTTTCATTTTCTACTACAAAATTAAATACGCAAGTTATACACATTTAAACCATGTAAGATTTAAAACAAAATAATACAGTCAAATGTTCACACTCAAAAACTTAGAAACTTGAAATTATAATATAAAATAAGTACTACAGAACTAACTGAATGTGAACATTTTAACAAAATGAGTTAAAAACTAAAAAAAAATCAAATCATTTAATCATCTTCAAATCTTGAAATACAAATAAACATGACATACTCAAAATAGCAATGAAAAAGATACAACATAATGTTTTATAAAGAAATATAAAAAAATCACAATAACAAGAGAAGACTAAAATTAATAACAATAATTAAGCACAGTCATTAGTATTGATAACATTTTGAAAGTTGTTATTGCATTTTGACATTAAAGCAATAAGCAGTCTATCAATTTTTCTGAATATTTTGCAGGTCCCTCACTATCTGCATATTTTTATCAAAGACAGCTTGCAAAAGTTGCAAAAACTCGGGAAACTAAATATTTTCTGGGATGAATCATGTCAAGCTTTTCAACATGTATATAACACTCTTGATGACACTACTGTCATTAACTGAATAAGTAGTTCTTGCATTGCTTGGTACAAGAATCAAGAGCAACCTGAGATTAGGATGCACCACATAAGTAATTTCCAGCAAACAAGCAGAGATAACTAAAATACACATTTTACAAAGTAAGAAAACAATGGTATGTGCGATATTTCTGCAAGAGAAGCGAATACTCGGTACAGACGTTATAAAAGGTAATGCTAGTAAAGAAAACTTGAGATTTTAATAGCTGTTAACATACCTAGAAATATTATGAGTGTTATTACTGCCGATGCCGAAAGTCAAAAATCGAGGCGGAGCGGAGCCGAGATTTTTAATTTGGACGGGGTAGTAATAACACTAATATTTCGTGGTATGTTCAGCGTTTTATCGGTCACCATAAAATCTCAACTTATGTGAGAAAATGTACGACATTACTGCGATGTGAAACATGAATTCTGTCGTTGCGGCACGATAATCGAAATTGTTGGGTATTGCTTGCGATATATGTATTTCAACAATACACTTGTATACAGTGGCTCGAGGAAAATGGACGCTGAAAATTGGTCTGCGCCTCAGGAAATTTTAGATGCAGCTGAGGAATTCACGCGAGATTTAATCCATGAAAAATCTAAAGCACGATACGATAAGGCATACGAAGAAACCTGGCAATAGCGAAAACCACGTGGCCGTGATTACAGATGTAATGCTTGCATACTTTAAGAACTTGGTAAGGTAATTTACACTTATTCTTTTTATAAAGAGAATTAATAACATAATTAATAATAAACATACCCAAAAATAATGCGTTTCTTTGATTACTATTTGTCTTGTAAATTACCATGTGATTTTTTCGTAATCATGTTGACTCGCGATGAATGGGTGGTTGTCTGTTTAGGTTACTAAGGATGTTAAAAATTAGTTGCTAAGGATTTTAAACTTCTTAACCTACAGGTAGGTACAAGTGCACTTAACAAACTTATAGGGTTACATGTTAACAAGGATTAAAGACGCATGTGACCGATAAAGATTATTAAAAGAGGTGTAGCTTAATAATGATGGAATAAGATAAAAATTAAATCATATTATACTTCTGTATGATTTCAAATGAATGTACTATGTAATTTCAATAGTACTTGCATCTTGACAGCATTTCCACGTGAAGAAAATATTCCGTGATTTTTTTTTCCAATGAATAAATATGTACCTTTTATTCATATTCAAACGCAGTAACCTTCGCTACTAGAATTTTTGTTTGAAACTGTAGTGTTACCTACATTCATTAATCCATTGCATAAATGTATAATTCATTTTGATCCTCATAACTCACATTATTATCAAGAATCAAGTTCCACTTTTTTCTTGATGACCGGTACGGTGAAGGGGATCGCAGCCCCAGTACTTGTGGTCGGTGGTGAGGAAGCAAGCCACCGGGCGTCGTCACCCAGCGAGTGCAATGCCAGGGGTGCAGATCACTCGGCACTGCTGGCAGATACTGCTACGAGAGATAGCGAGCTTCGCGGGACTCACCCAGAAGTTTGCGATCTCTTGAAAACCCTCGTCCAGAAAAAAATGCCTTGAGTTCAATGAAAAAAAATAAATGGAAGAACAATAAACTGCGATGGCTTCTTCAAGAACACTGCAGCGGTACTAAAGTACCTTACAGTAAGAAGAACTGACGGAAATTTTGATAAAGTGAGCCCATTTATAATAGAGAGGAGTATTAGCACCTGCGCTGGATCTGCCTTAAAAGACATACAGAAAACTTCATCTGGACTCTTGGTTGAAACATTTAATGACAATCAAGGTAAAAGGATTGAAGAAAATAGGCACTATAAATGTTGAAGTAAGTACTCATGGCACGCTGAATACATGCCAAGGTGTAGTTAGTAGTGACTTACTAAACTGCAGTGAAGAGGAAATAGTTCAAGAACTAGATTCTCAACGAGTCATCGCCTGTCGTAGGCAAAAAATGAGGCGGGATGGGCAGACAATTCCTTCAGCGTCCCATGTCCTGACGTTCAAGCGTTCTACGTTACCAGAGAAGACAAAAGCAGGCATTCATCGTCTAACCGTACGAATGTTCATTTCTCAACCATTGCAATGTTTTCCATGCTTACGTTTGGACACACAGCATCTAGATGTGCGAGAATCAAAGTATGTCATTGTGGTAAGCCATTTCATAGTGATGTTTCATGCCTAGATCCTATCAAATGCATTAATTGCAGCGGACGATTAATTGCAGGGGATGAAAGTTAACTTCGTGCATTTATGAGAAACAAAATTTCAGTTGGTAGAGAAACTTCTCTGGGGAGAAACTTCACTTCAGCTATTCGCGGGGAGAGGCGAGTGCGCCTCTGAAGGCACTTAGTTGAAACCACTGAGGTGATAGACTGGAATTCTCAGTGAGGATTTTAGAGGAAGTGAAAAAGCACTTCAAAAGTAAATTGGCGAATCCTTTGTAATTGCGTATTCGCTACAGGATTTCGCAACTTCTGAATTTGTATTTGAGTGGATTTGCATAGTTCAGAGGGAAACACTGTTGTGTGCTACGCAACTGCGACCGGGGGCAATACACCCCGACGACATCTACCTACTCCGCCGGGCAGCCTCCAGACGGCCCCCTGCTGACGTCACGGATTGCCGCAGACGCCGCGAGCCGCCCTGCTGTTGAGGGGGCGCGATCGACTGCATTCCAGGGAAGGGCGCCTACCGCGCTCCCAGGCCTCCTGGAGCACATCTGCCACGAAGGGCTCTTAGGCAATGTAACTAGGAGCAATAAACCTTTTGAAGTATTGTCAAAGCGGTGCCGCGCCATGGCACAAGAAAGGTCCTCAGGGACAACGCTGTAAATCCTAGCTATAAAATAATTTTGTACTCTTCTCTAGTTGTAAGCCTTCCTTTAATTTTAATCTCTGTTTCTTTTCTTTTTATTCAATCTTTCCTTTCTTTTATTTTATTAATGTAACTTCCCTGGTACAGTTTGTCCAGGAATAAACTTTGTCTTGTTACCAGTGATCAAATTGTTTATTTTGAATATCCATTAATTTCCTTAATAATTCCTTCCATCACCTAATTTCAAATGAGCAAAGGAAATTGTTACAATTGGCTAAATTTTAAATGAGTAAAGGGAATAGGACCGACTGAGCTATAACCGGGCCGCTAACCGCGCATTTCCCTTCGCCGGGAGATGAGTGAAGGTGTTACAATAGATATAATTGAAAGTTTCCGTGCCCGCAGGTTTGCGTCAAGTAGAAGTCCATTGTGCCATGGTTCCTGCTGGTCCAATCCTTGATGTTAGGGACGAGGCTGTGTGTCCATCTACCTTTGTACTCCAGGTCCCATCGGTTTTGCCACTGGTGCAGGAGATGGTTTCTAAATTCCGCTTTGATACTGTCTAATTGTCTTTGTGAATGGGTTTGTTGTCTGCTGTCGTCCTCAGGAACATTGTCCTTCTTTCCTGGGCTAAAAGGACCACTGGGGAGACAGTGGCCAGAACTAAGGCTGCACTGTCGGATACCGTGCGATATCCTGAGATTATACTTAGAGCCATCCTTCTCTGGATCTGTGTGAATTTCCGTCGAATGGACTCATTAGTTAGCGCATCTGCCCACACGGGTGGCATACAGCATTTTTGAGTGCACTACGGCGGAAATTAACCTCCTTGTGCTTTCACTAGGACCTCCTGAGTTCAGCATTAGTCTGGCAAGATTTGATTCAGTCTTTGCAGCTTTCTTGCTGATTTTATAATGTGGGGTCCGAAGCTCAGTCGTGAATCAATTTCCACCCCCAGGTATGATATGCTGTTTCCATTCAATACGTTCCTCCCCCAGTCGGATCACCGGGGGGCGGAATGCTCTGCGGTTTGTAATCAACACGGCCTCGGTCTTGTCAACAGACATCTGGAGGTTTCTTTGGTCCAACCATCTTTTAACCCTGCGTAGTGTTTGGTTGGTCTTCATTTCCAGTAGTTCCGTGTTGTCACTATGGCATATGATCAGTGTGTAGTCGGCGTAGCCTATGAGTCTGGAGTTCTTTGGGTGTTCCATATTCGGCAGGTCGTCATATAGGGTATTCCACAGGAAGGGGCTCAATCTTGATCCCTGTGGAACCCCGCAGGTCACGTCTTCCTCAATCCTATACCCGTTAGTGTAGATTATTTTCCTCTCATTGAGGTAGTCCTCCACGATTCTCACACGGTATTCAGGGATCTTCCTAGCTACTAGGGCTTTTATGGTGTCTTTCCAGCTGGAAGAATTAAAGGCATTTTTTATGTCAATCGCAACCAAGGCACAAAAACTCCTTTTCCTTTTTACTGATTCTGCATGGTGGACTGCTTCTGAGATCGAGTCTATTGTCGAGAGTCCCTTTCTAAATGCAAACTGTCTCGTTGCAAATTGGACATCTCTCTTTAGTCATAGGA